TATATATATTGTTTTTGCCTTGAACTGAATCCATGGTCCTATCTTTTGTTTAAATTGAGTATGTGGTCAAAGTCACAGAGAGAACAATCAGTCATTGCTCTCGAATGTTACATAGCTTGTTACATTTCCCAGAGGAACAGTCCCCAGCAGTGAAGCTACATGTGTAATCATGAGCATGTGTTACTTTCTCAATATAAGTATGGACATACCGTGTTTTATTGCACTTCTTCACTTTATTGGGCTTCATGGATGTTGCTTTTTTTGTAAATTGAGGGCAAGACTTCTCACCAACAAAAATATTATGACTCACTTTATTGTTATATTGGCTTTATTGTGGTGGTCTGGAACCAAACTTGCAATATCTCTGAGCTATTCCTGAGATATTGCTCTAAAATGGTTTGTGTGTTTGTGTGGTGGAAAGTCAGACAATCCAGGGCTCAAATCCCAGTTTACCACTCAATAGCTATGTGAGCCTTAATTTTACATCTGTAATTTGGGATAATAACACCTGCCCTATAGAGCTGTTGTAAGAATTAAATGAGATAATGTGGGTAAATAATTTGGTACATCATAGGTACTAATTATTATTGTATATACTAATCCCTGAGAGCCATGAAAAGGACAAATGGTTACAGAGGCACTCACCACTGGATGTTACTCACCCAGGCAAGCAGGTGCCTGCCATTTGGCATCACAAGCAAAGGGACTTTGACCAGTAAAGCTTTAGAGTAGCAAATGCCATGGAAATAATTGCATAGTTATGTAGAGAATTACCTCCAGCCAAGAGCACCTGCATACAACATCCAGGAGCACAAGTAAAGTTTAGAACAAAACAGCAACACCAGAGATTTACATTGTTTTTTTTCCTTGCAAAATAAGACTCCAGGAAGAGCAAAGGAGATTTATAGATTAAACTGCCAACTTTTCAGAAGAAAGGCAATATGTCAATCAATCATGTATCAGATGCATGTCTATACTTATGTGCCTGTAGTCTATAGCTTAACTCTCACTAGACATCTCTTGACAGAGCTCTCTTGCTGTCACACATTGAAGTTATAAAAGCCCAATATAATGACTCTTTGTAATTGTCTTATTTTATTTTCACCTGCAAAAGCTCCTTGGCAGATCCTCGCCTATCCACATCCATCTCAAGACAGCGATTTAAAAAGTCACGGAATACAGCCGACAGTCTTTCTGGATTCTGGAGCTCTGGGGTTCCATTAGTAGCTATCAGATATAATGCCTATAGAAAAAATTAGAAAAATCTATTCAGCACATACATATTAGGATTACGAGCTGGCATAGAAGGTACAAATCCAGTTTCTTCTGGTTTATACAGTAGATCTTAAAAATTATTGTATACATAATGGCATTGACATATATTTCAAAGTTTATATAACATTTAGAAATTATTACTCTTGGCAGTAACTAAGGTGACAGTGAGATGCCCTATCCCCCCAAAATTGGAAATAATGTTATGAGGTTGTTCTGTGAAAGTTAAACCAGTAAAAATCCTTATACTATAATGAATGTGTGATGAACCAGCTAGAAAATTAAACCAAGAATTGCCTGTGAATCTGTGACTCTAAAGAGTTGGGAAACACATATACATCCCATCATGTTGACCTGAGTATATATAACCTCTGGAAGGCATGGTTGCAAAGGTGATTGTAATTTATTAAGTGTTTATCTGGTTTAAAGAATATTTGTGAACAGCCCAGGGATGAACAGAGTCCAGTATAGAATTAGAGAAGTACAAAAAGAACCAGAAGATGGCAGTGCCTGGATGAGGGGTAACCTCTGGGGCCTAAAAACTCAAATACTTTTGTACTGTGGCAAATGTATGTCTAAAGATTTTAATTAAAATCCCCCTGAAGGTCTACCTATGAGAAAAACTGACATTATTAGTCCTGGAACCAGACAGTTATGTATCCTGCTATAAAATAATAAGTTGCAAATAATACTGAAATCACTGTTGTGTAAGGCTATCAGTGAGAGATATCTATATATTCATGGTTTGTTGATGAAACCAAAGACTCCAGGCAGAGAGTCAGACCCAAGACCATGATTAAGTCACAAAGCCCATCATTCAAAGGCTCTTGACAACCAAAAAAACTGGTGATTCATTGTTATCCTCTAAGCAAATAATTCTAGGGCATTAAGTATGCATCAGGTATTATATTAGACATTCGATATTGAAAGATGAATAGAGAATGTCCTATATTCAAAGGCCACACACAATTTAATAAGGGAGAGAGACATAGAGAGATTCAATACAGTGAGATAAGACCTAAGCAAGGAACTTAGCAAGTGTTAAGTAAACACAAGGATAAAGCAATTTACACCAGAGCTCAGAGAAAACTTCACATAGGAGGTTGGCATCAGAACAGCATCTTGAAGGTTAAGTAGGAGTTTTCCTGCAGGTATTGCCACCAGGGTTATCCTGCCTATGCAACCATTCCCCTAAATACTATGAAGACATGTTACCTCCTGAACTTGCTTGGGCTTTGCAGAAAATTATCAATCCCTTTTCCTCTTCCCCACTATGGCTCCTAATAGTATTATTAAAAGTACTGGAGGCCCTGTGCACGAATTTATGCATGGGTGGGGTCTGGCTGGCCTGCCCCAATCGGGGCCAATGGGGGCTGGGCCGGCTGGGGGGAGAGGGGATGCAGGAAATTGGCTGGCTGGCCCCACCCCCAAACAGGCTGGTTGGCAGCTGCGGTGCATGTCATAGCAACCGGTCACTCTGGTCATTCCGGTTGCTTGGCTTTTATATATATAGATTTCTATCACCCTGGCTGATTTGTCCAGTGGTTAGAGGGTTGGCCCAAGTACTGAAAGGTCTCAGGTTTGATTCCAGTCAAGGGCACATACCTAGATTGCAGGCACAATCCCCGCCCTGGTCAGGGCATGCTCGGGAGGCAACCAATTGATGTATCTCTCTCACATTGGTGTTCCTCTCTCTCTGTCTCTCCCCCTTCTCCCTCTCTTCCACTCTCTATAAAAATCAATGGAAAAAATACCCTTGGGTGAGGATTAACAATAATAATAATAATAATAATAAATTCTTTAAAACTGTATTTTTTTTTACCAAAGTCATTTTCCAGGCCAGTTTTCAACAGCCGGTGAGAACATCTCCTTTCCAGAAACTTCCAGATATATACTTTAGAAAGGGTTAAGAAGGACTGCTTATTCCAGTGACCATCAACCTATCACCCTAGCATGCACTAGAATCACCTAGAGCAGTGGTCGGCAAACTTCGGCTCACGAGCCACATGCGGCTCTCTGGCCCCTTGAGTGTGGCCACGAAGTTTCAATTGCACTATAGGTGCGCGCCTGCACGTGGTATTTTGTGGAAGAGCCACACTCAAGGGGCCGCAGTTTGCCGACCACTGACCTAGAGGGCGCTCTGGTCATTCCTAGAATCTTGTTAAAAAACAGATTCCTGGGTCACCCCATTGTAAATCAGATTAGGTAAATCCAGAGAGGGGCCCAAGAATTTTCATCTGATAAGTTCCCTGCTGGTTCCAGGACCACTCTGAAAACTGGTTTATTCCACCCAGCTAATTAAGGAACAGGCTAAACTAGAGTTTCCCACAATCACCTGGGGTGATTTAAAAAATTCGCCATACCCAGTTCTCAGCCAAGATCAATTAAATAAAAATCTCTGGGAGTGGAACTCAGGCATTGGTATTTTTTAAGCTCTCCAGGAGATTCCAATTTACAGCGAACATTGAAAACCAGTGGTCAAGGACTTGCGGCCCACTTAGTAACTCATAAGTACATCAAATTAGAGAGCCACAAAGTCCCATAGAGGGGGATTCTCTTGCATAGTAATGAGTGAGAATTACAATGCAACATGTTTATACGGAGTGAGATGAAACTTTTTACCCTCCCCAGGATATTAAAAAAGCTCACATTTAAATACTCCAAACAAACAACTTCCTGTCCTTCACCCCTCCTATCTAATTTTAAATTCCTTTATTGAAGAACAGCAAATGCAGGTGGCAGCTATTAGAACTTCCATGCCAAAATACAAGTCAGTGGCAAATCTAGTTTTAACTAAAAGGAGGTAGTATAGAAAAAGAATCCATAAACTGGCTTTTAGGAAGGTATTGATTGGGGTAAAATCAAATGGTGCACATTCACAGCAGATAAATTAAGTTCAAACAGTGTTTTTAGTTCTTGGATAATTAGTGCTTGAAGCACATGTCCTCACAAAAGCATCTTAGTTCCCTTATTAAAAGAAAATTGGTTACTGCAAATTACATTTGCTGCTTCCTCCCAAAACTCTTCTTTCAACTGGCCACAATTCTGCCACACTCTCTGTCCTTTGCTTGCTTGCTTTCTGCTCTGTAGCCAAATCCAGCCCTAAATAAACAAATTTCTTTCCTTCTTTCCACTCTGTAGATCTTTTTGCATATTATACTGTTTCATTTTCTCACATTTTGTTTAGTATTCTTAGCTTAATTCATTCTACTCCATATAATCTTGGTCCTCACAAGTACACATATATCTCTATCTGTCTTTCTCACCTCTCTCAATCCATGCCTAATTACCTCAGGAAATGCATGTCCCTCTTTCCATTCCATTTATGAAACACACACACACACACAAACACACACACACACACACACACACACACTTTGATAATAGTTGTAAAGGCTGAATGGTGCTAGTGATAAGTGTAGCCAGGGAGAAGAAAGTCCTGTAATTTTGAAGGAAAATCAAAAGTAATAAAGGAACCAGTGCTATGAACCTCTGCAGCACTTCAAAGAGTGCATATGTCCTCTTCTGAATTTCTATAAAAACAATGGCTGTGGTTTTTGTTGGGGGTGGGGCCAATGGTGGTGGGGCGGGGGTCTGGATTGGGAACCTAATAGATGACTCCTTCAGTTTGAATAGTGCTGATCTGCTTACCCTCGTCCCCCATTTAGGTATCAAATGCAAGGCTGCCTTTTACTCAATGCTATATCATAAATATTGTTTGATGTTTT